GTGGTGCCATCCCCAGGGTGGGAATCTCCTCTGGATCCATCTCTCCTGATCTCTCCCCTCTTTCCTCATCCTCCCTCAAGCAGCCCTGGAGAAGCCAAAGAAACACCAGGGAAGGGAAGGGAAGGGAAGGGAAGGGAAGGGAAGGGAAGGGAAGGGAAGGGAAGGGAAGGGAAGGGAAGGGAAGGGAAGGGAAGGGAAGGGAAGGGAAGGGAAGGGAAGGGAAGGGAAGGGAAGGGAAGGGAAGGGAAGGGAAGGGAAGGGAAGGGAAGGGAAGGGAAGGGGCAGCACTGCTCCCCAGCTAACATAAGCTAATTCCCAGCAGCTGAAGTCATCTGGGATTGCTGGAAAGCCCAAGTCCTTCTCCAGCACTCAGGACAAGCCAGCAGCACTGTGAGCAGGGCATCGTGCAGAGGAGCAGAGCAGCCCCAGTGCCCTGGAAAGCTGAGGTGTACTGGTTAAACTGGCCCAGGATGGAAAACAACCTCCACAGGCTCCTGAAGCACTCACAGACAGCTCAATCTGAGCAAGGCCCGTGCAGAGGCTGGTGCTGGGTGGAGGAAGGGATGAGGGGAGACAGAAGGACAACAGTGGGACAGACAGGGAAGGACAGACCTCAACACCCCATGGGCCCTTTGCTTTCTGTCTCTGCCACCCTAAAAAGACCCCAAAGCCCGCCCAAGAAAGGAAAGAGAGGCACAGAGGAGACTCGGTGAGGAGACACTTGGTAAGAAGAGACTTTTAATCAGACTCTGATACAGCTCTTACAGGGTTTCTCCCGGTGCCCGAGGAGCCCGGGCGGCGCTGCCCGGCCCCGCCCGGCACACGTGGGAACTACAGCGGCTACCGGGGACAGGGACGCGCCTCTAGAGCTCTGTGCTTTACCTGTACACGAGGGTTTCGCCGGTGTTGTGCTTGTCCCAGGGGAAGCAGCCGCATCCCGCGTGTCCCCGTGGCTGTGCCGTGTCCCTCCCGGCCACCAAGGCCAGCCGGCCCCGCTCCTGCCACGCTCGGGAAGGGTGGGGACCATTGGAAGGCAGTGGGAGCTGCTCCTGGGAGGTGCTGGGGGTTAATGTGACCTGTCAGGGTCTGGGCAGGAGCTGAGAGGTGAGGAAGGGGCTGTTTTGGAGGGGCTGAGCCGTGGGACAGCCTGGGGACCCAGCTCCACAAGCCCCTGCCTTGTACTGGGGTCAAGGTCCCTGCAGCAGAGAGCAGTGCTGGGGAACAGAGCATCCCAAATCCAGCCCTACAGCCTGGGGAACAGAGCATCCCAAATCCAGCCCTACAGCCTGGGGAACAGAGCATCCCAAATCCAACCCCACAGCCTGGGGAACAGAGCATCCCAAATCCAGCCCCACAGGCTGGGGAACAGAGCATCCCAAATCCAGCCCTACAGCCTGGGGAACAGAGCATCCCAAATCCAACCCCACAGGCTGGGGAACAGAGCATCCCAAATCCAGCCCCACAGCCTGGCGAACAGAGCATCCCAAATCCAGCCCTACAGGCTGGGGAACAGAGCATCCCAAATCCAGCCTGTAGGGCTGGAGAACAGAGCATCCCAAATCCAACCCCACAGGCTGGAGAACAGAGCATCCCAAATCCAGCCCCACAGGCTGGGGAACAGAGCATCCCAAATCCAACCCTACAGGCTGGGGAACAGAGCATCCCAAATCCAGCCCTACAGGCTGGACCTGCATCTCCAGCAGCACAATGTCATCGTTTTTCCAGCCCCCAAGGGCCAGAATTGCCTTTTCCAGTTTGTTTTTCCAGTTTCCAGTTTGTTTTTCCAGTTTCCAGTTTGTTTCCAGGGCATGCCCCTCCAGCAACCTCCTCTGTGCCCCCTGCAGAACGCACTGCACACCCTCCCCACAGAGAGGGAGCAGGGTCTGGACCCCTCCTGCCCTGCCCAGCAGCAGGGACCCCACACTGCTCTGAGCAGCAGGATCTGGGCTGGGAACCCACCCAGGAGCTGATGTGGGGGACAGGGACACGGGCAGTGGCTCCCCCTTCTTTGTCCCACTGCCTGAAGGAAAACTGAAAAGTGCCTGTGCTCACAACTAGCAGCTATTCCCTGTGCCTCTGTGCAGAAAAAGAGGAAAAGTGATTTCTAGGGCTAAAAGCCACCGGGGGTCGGCCCAATGCACAGCCTGGCACCCCGAGGAGGTGTGTGGAGGGAGAAACCCCCACACAGGCCCCAAAAGTGAGCGAGTCCAGGCCAGAAGTGAATCCTAAAGGCAGCCACACACACGGACACGCACACCCCACGGACAAACACACACACCCAACATGGAGCTCCTAAAACCTAACACACACACACACACAGCCCACCCCAAAACCCCGTGTCTAACACCGAGCAAATGCCACGACAAAACACGAGTATTTCCACAGGTAAAAGTAAAGGGGGCGTCCCTCCTCCTCCTCCTCCTCTCTGCTGGATGCCCAGGGTGCCCCAGGCTGGGGGGAGGAGGGGACGTGCACCCAGCACACACAAGAAATAAAAAGGTAAAAATATGCCCTGCTATAGAATGAGAATTGATCTGTACAGCACTGGGAATGAAAATAGGTCATGGGCCACTTTGGAATACGATTTGTCATTTAACAGCATTTACAGTGACATTTACAGAATAAATATACAATAGAAATAGAGAATCTCTAGGTTATTATTCCATCTCCTCTCTCTGTATATATTTTATATATATATATAATATAACTTCTTTGTTACCTTCTTATTGACTTTGCCTCTTATTGATGCTGCAAGAAGGGAGGAAAGCGAGCTCCTCCCTGGCTGGTTTGGGAACAGGGGTGGGAGAGAGGGAGGGCTGGATCCTTCCCCCCGGGGTTCAAGGAGCATCCTGCCATGGGAGCACATGGGACTGAGTGCTCTGGAGCACATGGGACTGAGTGCTGTGGCTATGGAGGTGTCCTGCTCCATTAACTCCATGGGAGCTACGGTGGGAACCCGGCCCCCGGGCTCAGGGGTGATGGGGAGGTGATGCTGGGCAAGGATTTGACTCATCCTCTGTTCTGCTGGTCAGTGAGGATGGATTCCATAAGAAATGTTGCCTAATAATGGGGAAAAGCCACCAGATTTGGGGTTCTCCCTTCCAGAGATGATGCCATGGGGACATTTCTGTGTCCCTCCTGCATGGGCAGAGGAAGGAGAAAGAGATGGGAGGGGATGAGGAAGGGGGAACTTCTGGAGGAACGTGGCTGATCCTGACTCACAGATCTTGGCACCATCACTGAGCTGCTTTGGTTCATTCCACTCCTCCATCTTCCCCCCAGAAAAACAGTTAATGAAGGGCTTGAGCTAATTGTCCTGGAAGAGTCTCCAGGTCACCAGCCAAGTCCATGGAGAAGGCTGTGAATGAAGGATCACACCCACAGGAGATGTCACTGTGGGAACCTGCTGGCCCCAGGGATGCTGAGAGTCAAGGGTGTGGTGAATGGACCAGCAGCTTCCTGCCTTCACCTCCAGCCAAAAGGAGAACCAAGGTGAAAGAAAAGCAATTGGCAGGAAAGCAGAGGAGAGAAGGGCTCAGGAACCAGCACCCACAAACGTGGCCTTCAGAGCAGCCTCAAAGCTCTTCATGCACAACCTCAGCCCAGCAGGATCAGGGGAGGCACTCCCCAGCCTTTGGAGGCAACAGGGGGGAGAGAGTGTGCTGCTTCCACATCCCCAGGGAAAAGGGGGACAATGCCACCTGACACCCTTGGCAGAAGTGCTTGGTTACAGGTAGGATTCAGGAAAATCACCCTCGGTCCCAGCAGGACTCAGAGCTGGAAGATCCCACCCTTTCCAAACAGCCTGGGGAGAAACAACATAAGGTCACATCAGTCAGATCACCCCAAACCATGGATGGGCACAATAGAGGCCCCTGGACTCTCACAAGGGCTCCCCAGGCTGGAGCAAGAGCTCCTGGGGACCTGGCACTGGCTCCCAGGAGCTGCTGCCCCTCGGGTGCCTGTGGTCCCCAAGAGCTGTCACCCCCATGCAAAGGCTGCTGAGCTCCTGGGGGTGTGACAGGAGGCAAAGCCAAACCCCAGGCTCGGAGGGGACACGAGGAGAAATGAGGAGGCGCGTCCAGAGAGAGCCAGTGCCCAGCTCACCTCGGCACGGGGACAAGGAGGGAAGTCAGGGGTGGTTTCCTGAGAGCTAAACCAGGAGTGTGGTAGGGCTGGATGTCCCACAGCTCCTCTGCTTGTCCCTCTGGGACATCTAAAGAGAGGAGTGAGAGGAGATGATCACCATGCCAGGGGTTTTGGTTCAGCAGAGCATCCCACACGTCAGGAGTAATTCCAGGAGAGTCCTCCTGACCCCACCACACCAACCCCACCCAGACCCCACACAGGCTCACACCCCCAAACCACTGTCACTTCAGGGGTCCTCCTGCCACTCAGCACCATCACCACCAACCCATGGAGCATCCCAGCTACTCCATCCCATGGCTGTGACATCTCCAAAGAACTCCCAGCCACCGTCCCTGTGCTGGTGGCAGCAAAGATTCCAGGGATTCACCCTGCCCTGTCTCACACACCCCAACATCACAGCCAGCCCCACGCTGCTCCCTGCCAACCCTGGTCAGAATTTGGGGGGTTATTTGGGTGTGTCCACAGCTATAAAAACCTACAGGAGATACAACAACAACGATGGTGACAACAACAGCACCTTCTTGTGCTATGAACATCGATGATTAATTGTGCTCGTTGGAATAAGGCCATGACTCCTCCCGGCTAAAGGACAACAGACAGGGAGGGAAGAGCTCTGGGTGACAGGAGGAAGTGTGATTGGCTTCCCACCTGCTGCCAGGTCCTTGTTCCAACCATCAGCTGCTTAGAAAAGAGAGATTCTTTGCTTCGGATTTGAGCTGCACGAGAACAACTCTTGGAAAGGTATTGCAGCATCTCTTGCTCCTCTTCCCTTCCCTGGAGGTGAGTCCAGGGGTCCAGCCTTTCCACCGAGGGTTGTCAGAGGAGTCCTGCCCCTCCTGCAATCCCTTCTTCCCGACGTCACCTCAGAAATGGCTGCTTTGCTTACGATTTTAAGAGGGGGTTTCTTCTTCATCTTAGTCATTAATTCTTCTTCACCCTTAATAATTAATTTTCCTGTTTTCTGGACAGCCAGCATCCACTCCCCAGTGCCCTCCTCTCCCGGTGGGGGTGGGTGGGCAGGCCACCATCACAGCTCAGACTCGGGGGTGCTGGCCAGCAGGTACCCGCTGCCGTAGCGTCCGTTGGGAGCCGCGCTCATCTCCAGGGGGGAGCTGCTGCCGGGGCCCAGGTAGGAGCGGTGCGTGGGCATGGGGGACGGCGTCTCGCTGGGCACCTTGCTCAGGATGAAGCGGGTCTCGTCGTTGTCCTCCAGGTTGGAGATGTCCTTCATCATCCGACCCTTCTTGTAGGTGACGGAGAGGGCGTTGGAGCCGTCCGACACCAGGTGGAACTGCCGGAGGATGAAGACCAGGGGCAGGGGGAGGGATGCCAGGATGATCAGGGAGATGAGGATGGCCATGGCCCAGGTTGGGTAGAACAGGAACTTTTCAGCAGCCTGGAAGAGACAGATGTTAATGACTCGGGGCTGCTGCTGCAGCAGTGATGCCCACCAGGTGTCACAGACATCTTTTATAAAAAATCCTTTCCTTGGGAGTTTTCCTCCTGAGAAGCTGAGAGGCCTCAGGAACAAAATGTAACCAATGGTTATCTGCTGCTGTGGAATGCAACAGGTGCATCTGGGATTGGTCTCATGTGGATGTTTCTAATTAATGGCCAATCACAGTCAGCTGGCTCAGACTCTCTGTCCGAGCCACAAACCTTTGTTATCATTCTTTCTTTTTCTATTCTCAGCCAGCCTTCTGAGGAAATCCTTTCTTCTATTCTTTTAGTATAGTTTTAATATAATATATATCATAAAATAATAAATCAGCCTTCTGAAACATGGAGTCAGATCCTCATCTCTTCCCTCATCCTGGGACCCCTGTGAACACGGTCACAACCAGGTATTGTAAGAACCTAAATGAGGGATGTGGGATGCAGGCAGCTCTGCAAAATGCAGTTTATTCCATCCAAGAGGTTACAGCAGTCCAGGGTGGTGGGTGACAGAGCTGTGCCCACAGCTGTCAGCTCCAGCTGCAGGCAGGCCTGGAGACCCTTTGGTTTTGGTTACAATGCATTATAGACTTTTCTTTGCTGAGAATCTTAATACAGCAGAACCAATCTATACCTTAACTATTATCTATAGCCTATCATAACTGCTATAATTACCATATTCATGTCAGTTTTCTTGCAGTGGAAAATTCTGAGACCTTTTTTCTACTTGCACCATTTGCTGACTTGTTTGCCTGTGCTCTTTTTCTGCTTGGTAAAAACATCTTCTTGTTTGGGGTGGGTTTATCCTTTGCTCTAAGCCATAAAAACCCCTTCTAACTAACACATCCTCTGCCTCTTTAGTTATCCGGTGAGACTGGCTCAGTAATTCTTTCCTTCTATATCAAAACTTGCTTCCATCTCTATTCCTTCTTCAGATTCTATATTTAAAAATCTTTCTGCTAAGCACACATATCTGTGAGACTTTCTTCTCAAACTTTCATCCTTCCCAACAAGGTACAACATCTCTGAAACACCAGTCAGCTCCTCCTGCCCCCTGCCAGACCCAGGGACACCACATGAAGGTGGGCTCAGGTCAAAGGGAAGGATCCCCACACAGGCACAGTGTGGAGCTGTGGGAGCCAACTAAAATCAACACAAACTTCAGCCCACAGGCAGAGCTGGCTGGAGATATGTGGGCAGCATGAACAAACCACTCCCAGAGGATGAGAGGGTGGGAATGTCACCCAGCAGGAGAGGAAGGAGGAATGAGCAGAGCTGGGATGAACAGAGCGCTCTGCAGCTCTGAGCTGCCCCTGCTGTGCTGGGGTGTCAGAACTCAGTGCATCCCTCTGGGTGTCCAGAGCTGCCAGGACCCTGCCAGGGGCTCAGAGACCCTGGCACACAGCCCAGAGCACCTGGGGGTTTGATTGTGACCCCTGGAGCAAGTTACCAGCTTTGTATGAGGACCTGAAAGTCACAGAGGTTAGAATAGTATAATAATAACATTATCACAGGGTGAAAATGTAGATTTTAGGATTTTTGGTATGGGGGTTGTGGGGATAAGATGGAGGAACTTGGGCATGTCCAGCCTTTCTTCTTTTTCTTCTTGGTCTCCATTTTCTGCAGTGATGTTGGCACTTTGGGATTGGTTTAGAGTAGAAGTGCACTGTCTAACACAGGTGATGGGTATTGGGGATTAAGTGTAAATATGTTCTATGTAGTTTGTAGTATAAAAGGACAACACTGCCCTGAGGGTGGTCAGAGTGCCTGTGGCTGCCCTGCTGAGCAGAAAGAAAATTTTATAGATAAGAATTAATAAACAACTTCAAGATCAAAAATTGAAGAGCTCTGACTCGTTCTTCAGACATGTGGGCTGAAGCAGAGACACCCTGCACATCTCAGGGCAGCAATTAACAACCAAAACCCGAGACTGGGGCAGGGTGGGGAAGGGAGCTGTGCCCACCTCCTCTCTGATCCAGGCGCTGTAGCCCGGGGGGCTCACTCCCAGCTGGATGATGCTGGCAGTCATGAGCACGGCCATGCAGATGGGGGACACGTACTTCCAGGCGTAGTAGTAGAACTGGTAGGGCCGGAATCCCAGCATTTCTGTCAGCTCCTGCATGAACCTGCCGAGGAAAGACACGGAATCGTGACATCCTGTTGCAGCTTGAATTGCTGCTAGTAAAGTCCAGGGTAAAGAAGGAAAAAAGGTTTTTGCATAATATCCATAGATGTTTAATTCATCTCAGACACATCCAGCTCTCTCCCCCAGGGGCCTCCCAGCTGACCTTGGTCTCCAGGCAGTATCAAGGTGAGACCCAATGAGGGAAAGGGGAGGGAGAGCCTCACAACACCTGTGTTAAGGCATAGGAACAGGGGAAGGAGCCAATGGGGTGTAACTTAGGAGAAGCCCCTCCAGGGCATCCACAACATCCTCCATCTCTGAGTGAGAAACAACCTCCCAGGAGCCCTGCTGATGCACAAGGTACAGCCTGAAGAACCCAGCTGACCATCTCAGCATCCCTCAAGCCTGAAGAACCTGTGGAAAACTGCACAGGACAAGACCATCTGAGTGTTATCCAGAGCTGCCTTTGCTCTGGACAGCTTCTGAACAAGGAGAACCGTGGGGAACAGCCTCCCCTTCCAGGAGGACCTGGAAACCTCAGAAAAAAGGGTCATCACAAGGAACAGATCATCACAACCAAGAGGAGAAACCCACGAGAAGGGGCTGTGTTACACCAGGGCAAGGCAGGAGGATCAAAGTGAACCAAACTCCTGCCTCTATAACTGCCCTTGGAGCATTTGCTCCGGGAGAAAAAGCCAAGAGGTGGAAGGAGGGTTTGTAGTCAGGAGTTACACCACAGTTACTCCTTTTCTGTAGAAATTCCTTACTTCTTGGTGCCATAAATCCAGGCCACAGCAATGTTCTCCAGGATGACCACGACGGTGAGCGGCAGCGTGGCTGAGTAATCGTCAAACATGGTGACAAAGTAGTTTCCAGAACGCTGCACAAAGATCAGCCCCACTACGAAGGCGAAGATGCAGCAACCAACTGTGGGGAGCAAACAGGCCTGGTCAGCAGAGCCTCCTGAGGGACACCAGGACCTCCAGAAGGTCCATTCCCTGTGTGGGCATGGTCAGCAGAGCCTCCTGAGGGACACCAAGGCCTCCAGAAGGTCCATTCCCTGTGTGGGCATGGTCAGCAGAGACCCCAGAGGGACACCAAGACCTCCAGGAGGTCCATTCCCTGTGTGGGCATGGTCAGCAGACCCTCCTGAGGGACACCACTGCCTCCAGAAGGTCCATTCCCTGCATGGGCATGGTCAGCAGAGCCTCCTGAGGGACACCAGGACCTCCAGAAGGTCCATTCCCTGCATGGGCATGGTCAGCAGAGACCCCAGAGGGACACTAGGATCTCCAGTAGGTCCATTCCCTGCATGGACATGGTCAGCAGAGGGCCCTGAGAGACACCAGGACCTCCAGAAGGTCCATTCCCTGCATGGGCATGGTCAGCAGAGCCTCTGAGAGACACCAGGACCTCCAGAAGGTCCATTCCCTGCACAGGCATGGTCAGCAGAGCCTCCTGAGGGACACCACTGCCTCCAGAAGGTCCATTCTCTGCATGGGCATGGTCAGCAGAGCCTCCTGAGGGACACCAAGGCCTCCAGAAGGTCCATTCCCTGCATGGGCATGGTCAGCAGAGCCTCCTGAGGGACACCAGGACCTCCAGAAGGTCCATTCCCTGCATGGGCATGGTCAGCAGAGCCTCCTGAGGGACACCACTGCCTCCAGAAGGTCCAGTCCCTGCATGGGCATGGTCAGCAGAGCCTCCTGAGGGACACCAATGCCTCCAGAAGGTCCATTCCCTGTGTGGGCATGGTCAGCAGAGCCTCCTGAGGGACACCAGGACCTCCAGAAGGTCCAGTCCCTGCATGGGCATGGCCCAGTTCACCCCCCACCATGTCCACACTCTTCTGGAGTGACTCCTCAAGGCAATGGGGACCTCCCACCCCTTCCCAAGGAGGTTGCAGGAGAAGAGGCCTCACCTGTGAACACTTCCTTGCGCACCTTGAAGGTGTCGATGATGGGCGTGGTGATGCCTGACATGGTCCCGATCATGCTCCCCAAGCCCAGGTTGATCAGCATCAGGAAGAACATGACAGACCAGAAGGGCGAGGCTGGGAAGTGGGTCATGGCTTCTGTGAAGGCAATGAAGGCCAGGCCAGTCCCTTGCACCGACTGTTGAGGTGGGGAGAGGACAAAAATATGAGAAGAAACTTGTCAGGGACACAGACTTTGAGCCCCTCTCAGGTTTCCCTCACCAAACCCTCTTCAGGAAAATCCCAGTCTGGTACTGGAGATGAGCTGGTGATGACCCTGCTCAACCTGTGCTGGACAGAGCTTCTCCCACCCCAGGAGGACCCCTGTGTGCTGGGTAAAACAACATGGAATTTGATTCTCCATCCCTGGAGGGTCTCTAAAGTTGTTTTTCCAGATCCATGTGCCCAGGATTGACACAGGGAGAGGCAATGGGGAGGGTGACCTGTCACAGACATCTTTTATGGAAAATCCTTTCCTTAGGAGTTTTCCTCCTGAGAAGCTGAGAGGCCTCAGGAACAAAATGCAAACAATGGTTATCTGCTGCTGTGGAATGCAACAGGTGCATCTGGGATTGGCCCATGATGGTTGTTTGTAATTAATGGCCAATCACAGCCACAGCTGGCTCAGACAGAGAGTCTGAGACACAAACCTTTGTTATCATTCCTTCCTATTCTATTCTTAGCCAGCCTTCTGATGAAATCCTTTCTTCTATTCTTTTAGTATAGTTTTAATGTAATATATATCATAAAATAATAAATCAGCCTTCTGAAACATGGAGTCAGATCCTCGTCTCTTCCCTCATCCTGAGACCCTGTGAACACGGTCACAGTGACCTGCTGGTCCCTCCAGGAGTGCCACCAGGTACCTTGTTGAGTTCATCCTCCAGCAGGCAGGCGTCCAGGCCCAGCTCTTTGAAGTGCCCCTCCTTCACCGTCATGATCACCCTGTACATCTCGTTGTAGTCCTTGGCAGTGAGGTGGGAGAAGTTCACGTGCGGTGGGATGAGGTCGTGGCTCAGCACATTGGTGTTCAGGTAGCCCAAGATCTTCTCAGCGTTCCTAAGGGAGAGCAGTGTAGTAAACCCCATAGATTTAGGAAAAGCACCATGGAGAATATGAACAATAGGAATACTGAAACAGCAAAAGAAAATGCCTGTTTCCCTGTCCTCCACCCCTTAACCTATCTCTGTAACCCTATAAGGCAATGCCATGTTAACCCCTTACCCATTGGTCAAGCTTGGATCCTTTCCAACCCTATAAAAGAAGCATACTGTACCCCATTAGGGGAGAAGGAAGAAGAGCAGAGACCCTTCACAGACCTCCCCAAATAAAGCCATCTCTGTGGAACAGCCTGCGCCTTCTCCTTCTCCTCTCTCTCCGTCTGCTGCAGCCTCCAGCCCGGGGCACCACTACCAAGCAAGCAGAGCTGAAATCCTGAGAGCTTGCAATCACTACAGAGCTGATAATCACCATGCTTGCTGGATGGCAGCCCCGCGGCCTTGGCATGAGCGAGCTTTGGGCACCCGGTCCCTGCCCAGGGACTGAGCTCCTAAGCCCTAGTGCTCTGCTTTATGATAAGGCCAAATCAGAGAGGCTTTATTAGAGCAGAATCTCTCAGGTGATGCAGGGCACCTGAGACACGCTGGATTCACACCCCAGCTGCAGATTAAGAGCCCATCTTGGGGCTGGATTTTAGCTTGGAGGAGCTGAATGTCCAACTCCCTCAGCTACAGAGGTGCATCCCTGGAAATCCAGCTCCTGACCATCAGGGCCCACCAAACCCCAGGATCATCCAGCTCCAGACCCACCACAACTGGCAGCAGCAAAGACCTTCCCACCCCAAACAGAGACAAAGCAAATCTTACTCCACCACGCATTTCTCGTTCATGATGTTGGCTTTGAAGCCCAGCACAGCAAACACAACCAGGGTGGCCAGCACAGACGTGAAGAAGTTGATGAAGGAGACGAGGGTGGCATCGAAGTGGCAGTTGTTGTCCTGCTTGTTGTAGCTGGAGAAGGCAATGACGCCCCCAAAACCCAGGCCCAGGGCGAAGAAAACCTGCGTGGCTGCTTCACGCCACACCTGGGGGTCCAGCATCTTGTCCAGCTTGGAGAGAAGACAGAAGAAGGAGTTAGGTGGCCCCACAGCCCATCCCAGAGTGACATTAAAAGGGCTGAGCTGGTTTTGGGGCAGCTGTGGCTGCTTTGGTGGGGTGGTGGAAGGAAATGATCTCTAAGGCTCCTTCCAACCCAAACCACTCTGTGATTCCATGATCTGCCGTGCTCAGGTCTGGCTTTACCCAGCACTCACAGGTCCTTCTCATTGTGGGAATGCACAAAATCAGAGGGGTTTGGGAAAGCTGCAAAAGGCCTCAGAGACAGCAGAACTGGGATTGGAGCTAAGCAGCAGCCATGAGATTGGTCAGCAGAAAAATTATTTAAAAAGTAGAAAAGCAAGGACAAATAGAACAATGGTCTGTGTATTAACACTTGTCTGGAATAACTCCCTAAGCTGCAGAAAAGTTTATCTAGTGAGATATTAGGAAGTTTGAAGCTTAATCATGGAGCTCTGTGAGTTGTGTTTTAAAGCTTACAAACAGGTATTGTATTCAAAATAAGCAAGCATTGTTTTAACCAAAGGTACCTGTGCTTATAGTGGTTGGATAGAACTACTGTCAATGTGCTTTTGCTTTGTGTGATTGGACAAAAAACTTATAAAGTGAATTGTAACATTGAGTTCTTGGTCTGCTGCCTGGGATGTGAGCTGGTGGCATCTTCCCATTGTCATAACCATGGAATGAGAGCGATGCTGGAAAATAAAACAGCTCAAGGCACGTTCCTAACAGTCCCATCCCATTTGTGATTCATACACAGCCCCTGGCTGGCAATACTCCTCATTCACACAGAGAGGGAAACTGAGGCACGCAGAGGTCAGGACAAGGTTTGACCTGACCCATCTCTCAGTGCAGCTCCCCAGCCCGTGTTCCCCCAGCCCAGGGCACCACCCCATGCCCAGGGATGTGTCTCCATCCTCCCCTGGCCATCTCCTGCTCCCAGAGCTCCTGGAGCACTGAAATCAAACATCCTGGCTGGGGGTGTTTTATCTGCTGCTCCCCCCCAGCCACATTCCCCCTCTCCCAGGAGCCAGAGCTGCAGCCTGGAGACCTCCCAGCATCATTCATCAAGGAACCACAATTAATGTCTTCTAACAGCCTCGCCGGCTGAGCTGATTCATCTACATCTCTGCTTAATTAATTAATTAGCTGCTTAATTAATGAGTGCATACCACCAACGGAGGTTTTTCTTCCAGCCAGCATCTCTCCATTAAATCTTTGTATTCATACATTCCCTTGGGCACCTCTGTGCCCCCCAGCCTGGCATCTGGGTGGTTGAGGGTGGTGAGTTTGTGAGGGTCGTGGCTGTCTTGGCCACATCCTGAATTTTGGGAGCCACTCCACACCCTGATGATCTATCACGGTCCCCAAGTTTGGGGCTGGTACTTTGATTTTTGGGGTGGGGAGGAAAATAAGAGGAATAATAAGAGAATAAGGGAAAATAGGGCATGAAAAGCCAGGAGGGGAACCCTGATGGGGTTGGAATTCTCACCTTGGGTGTGAACATGTGCATGATCCCATCCACTGCCCCACGCAGCAGCAGCCCCCGCACCAAGAAGCAAACAAGCACCAGGTAGGGGAAGAGGGAGCTGAAGTACATCACCTGGAGCAGGAGGGATGAACACACACAGCCTCAATTCCTGCCCCCTGGGCCCAGCCACCCTCCCACCCTGCCCATGGACAGCTCACGGGGGGAGAAGGGAGCGGCTCCCTCCCCAGGATGGGGCTGGATCCCAGGGATGAACTGTGGGACCCCTCGGGGCAGGATGGTGCAGGTGGCTGGGCAGTGCCCGGGCACAAAGGGACCTGGGGACACTGGTGGACAGCAGGCTGGACATGAGCCAGCAGTGTGCCCAGGTGGGCAATAATGCTCCTGGCCTGGCTCAGGAATGGTGTGGCCAGCAGGAGCAGGGCAGGGATTGTTCCCCTGTGCTCAGCACTGCTTGGGCAGCACCTCGAGTGCTGTGTCCAGTTCTGAGCCCCCCAGTTTAGGAAAGGTGTTGAGGTGCTGGAGCGTGTCCAGAGAAGGGCAACAAGGCTGGAGAGGGGTCTGGAACACAAGGGGGGCTGAGGGAGCTCAGCCTGGAGAAGAGGAGGCTCAGGGGTGACCCCATCACTCTCTGCAGCTCCCTGACAGGGGGCACAGCCAGGGGGGACAGGCTCTGCTCCCAGGACAAGACAAGAGGAAACAGCCTCAAGCTGCACCAAGGGAGCATTAGGCTGGGCATTAGGAAGAAGATCTTCCCAGAAGGAGTGACTGGGCATCAGAAGGGGCTGCCCAGGGAGCTGCTGGAGCCACCATCCCCAGTGGTGTTTAATGAAAGGCTGGATGTGGCTCTCAGTGCCATGGTCTGGCTGACAGGGTGGTGTTGGGCCACAGGTTGGACTTGATGGCCTCAAAGGCCTTTTCCAACCTAATGGATTGTGTGAGTGCTGGAGCTCAGGGGGATTCTCTGTGCTGGTATGACCACGGCCTGGCTGCAGTTGAACCAAACCTCTTCCCTAAACCCTCTTTTGATCTTATTCTGGATCCCTCCAGAGGTGACGCCAGCTGTGGGGTGGGTGTGACCATCCCAGGGGACACAGCATTCCTCTGGAAATGGGACACAGGACAGTGTGTCCAGCAGGTTCCTGCTCCCAGGACAGAGCCCAGCCAGGCTCAGGTGGCCACCAACACCCACCTTCCCTGAGGACTGGATGCCTTTGATCATGGCCAAGCCAACAAGGCTCCAGGCCACCAGCAGACACAGGGTCATCTTCCAGTTGAGCCCCCCGCTCTCAGAGATGGAGTTGGAGATGTCCAGGGTCTCCCGGTACCAGAAGTAGGTGGTGGCTGAGCTCCTCTCACATTCTGTCTCCACAACTGCAGGAGAGAGGCAGGAGAGCATGAGGGGAGAGGCCTCCACTGTCTCCTGGGCTGGCCAAATGTCACAGACCTGTCAGACATCTTTGATGGAAAATCCTTTCTTTAGGGTTTTTCCTCCTGAGAAGCTGAGAGGCCTCAGGAACAAAATGCAAACAATGGTTATCTGCTGCTGTGGGATGCAACAGGTGCATCTGGGATTGGGCTCATGTAGTTGTTTCTAATTAATGGCCAATCACAGTCAGCTGGCTCAGACAGAGAGCCGAGCCACAAACCTTTGTTATCATTCTTGTTTGCTATTCTATTCTTAGCCAGCCTTCTGATGAAATCCTTTCTTCTATTCTTTTAGTATAGTTTTAATATAATATATATCATAAAATAATAAATCAAGCCTGCTGAAACATGGAGTCAGATCCTCGTCTCTTCCCTCATCCTCAGCCCCCTGTGAACACGGTCACAGAGACCTGCTGGAGGCAGCCAGGGAAGGGAGACACCCCTGGAAACTGAGGGGCAGAAATTATGGGGCTCATTCTTAGCAGGGAAAAGAAGAGACAGGACATAAAACTACTGCCGGGTGAAAATGAGATGTTAAATACGGGGAGAGACATTTTCATTTGCTATAAAACCTCTCAGAGAGCCCCAAGCTGATGTTCAGATGTTATAAAACACCATTAGCCCCATCCATGTCTCAGGCAGGCAGTGGAGCAGCCCCTGCCTGATTCCCTCTGCCTCCCTCCCACGGTCCTGGGTCAGAGCCTGGCCTCAAGCACTGAGGCAGCCTGGAAATCCCATCAGTGGGGACTCTGGATTGCCAAAGTGGCATCAAATCCCATCAGTGGCAACTCTGGATTGCGAAACTGCCATCAAATCCCATTCTGGATTGCCAAACTGGCACCAAATCCCATCAGTGGGGACTCTGGATTGCCAAACTGCCATCAAATCCCATCAGTGGGGGCTCTGGATTGCCAAACTGCCATCAAATCCCATTCTGGATTGCCAAACTGCCATCAAATCCCATCAGTGGGGGCTCTGGATTCCCAAACTGGCATCAAATCCCATTCTGGATTGCCAAACTGGCACCATATCCCATCAGTGAGGACTCTGGATTGACAAACTGGCATCAAATCCCATCAGTGGGGACTCTGGATTGACAAACTGCCATCAAATCCCATTCTGGATTCCCAAACTGCATCAAATCCCATTCTGGATTCCCAAACTGGCATCAAATCCCATCAGTGGGGACTCTGGATTCCCAAAGTGACATCAAATCCCATCAGTGGGGTTTGTGGATTCCCAAACTGGTATCAAATCCCATCAGTGGGGATTCGGGATTCTGAATTCCAAAAGTGGCATCAAATCCCATTCTGGATTCCCAAACTGGCATCAAATCCTATCAGTGGGGTTTGTGGATTCCCAAACTGGCATCAAATCCCATTCTGGATTCCCAAACTGGTATCAAATCCCATCAGTGGAGACTCTGGATTCCCAAACTGGTATCAAATCCCATTCTGGATTCCCAAACTGGCATCAAACCCCATCAGTGGAGACTCTGGATTCCCAAAGTGACATCAAATCCCATCAGTGGGGTTTGTGGATTCCCAAACTGGTATCAAATCCCATTCTGGATTGCCAAACTGGTATCAAATCCCATCAGTAGAGACTCTGGATTCCCAAAGTGGCATCAAATCCCATTCTGGATTCCCAAACTGGTATCAAATCCCCTCAGGGGGGACAGAGAACACTGGAGACACTCATCCAACCCAAGGGGAAGTTTCTCACATGGTCGGGGCAGCTGCGCCAGAGAGGAGCCTCCACCTGCTGAGGTCCCACCTTGTGCTGGGGGTGGTGCAGTGTCCCACAGGGTCCCACAGGGTCCCAGAGCCCCCCTTCCCCGGTCCCTGTCCCCTCCCAGCCCAGCCCCCTGTGCCTCACCAGCCACCGAGCCGTTCCTCACGATGGGGCACTCGCTCCAGGGCAGGGGGTACTGGAAGGACTTGAAGAAGTAAAAGATGCTCCAGCCGATGATGACGTTGTAATAGAGACCGACAAAAAAACAGACCTGGAAGGGAGGAAGGAGGAGGACACGGCATCAAACCACAGTGTGGGGACTCAGCACATCACTCCCAATGTCCAGAGTTGCCAGGAGAACCCTTGGGGGTCTCGGAAATCCTGGAATGTTGCCAGGAGTGTTTGGTGGCTTGATTTTGATCCATCCACAGAAGTGACAGCAGTTTGAGGACATGAGAATCACTTTAGAGTGAAGGGTGTAAAAGGGACACATTTATAGGGTGAAATATAAACTTTAAGGTTTTTGGTACAGGGGGGTTATGGAGACAAGATGGAGGGATCAGGGCGTGTCTCGTCCTTCTCCTTTCTTCTTCTTGTCCTCCATCTTCTGTGGTGATGTTGGCACTTGGGGATTGGTTTATGGTGAAGGTGCACTTGCTAACATGGGTGAAAAGTATTGGGAAATAAAGGTAAATATCATGTACGTAGATTTTAGTATAAAAAGACATGACCGCCCCGTGGGTGGGCAGAGTGCCCTTGGCTGCCTTGCAGATCAGACCTCTGTTGGGCAGACAGAAAATTTTGTAGATAAGAAACAATAAACAATCTGAAGATGGAAAAGCTGAAGAGTCCAGACTCGTCCTTTGAAATGCGTCCACCCAAGAACCACCCTACCCGTGTTGGGGCAGAGACAGACAGACAGACCTGACACCACAGGGCACTGAAATGTGCCCAGGGAACCTCTGGGGCTGCTGGGATCAGGGGTGGGAGCATTCCCAAACCAGCCCCCAGCCATGGGTGGAGCAGCAAAAACACCTCTTGACTTCTCCAACCTCCCCCTGGTGTTACAGGAGATTCTTTGAGCCAGGTCTCATGAGCTCTTGGAGGTCTATAACACACCCAAGATAGCTCAGCTACCTGTGGAGGTACAAAAATCAGCAGGATGGCTTCTGTGGTAGTGTTGGAAACAAAAAGGTTTCATAAAAGGCAAAATAACAGAGAAAAACCGAGCCAGGTGCAAGAGGTTCTTGCTCCTGGTAAAACACCTCACAAAAGCGATTAGTTTCTTTGTTCTCTTCTTTTTCTAGTAAATTGATTAGGTGAGGCTTTTTAGCTCCTGTCCAATTGGCTATCCCTAAGTTTGAGGTGAAGTCCCCCCATACCCCAAGTATGAGGTGGCTTTTCACTTAATCAAGGAGAGAAACTTCTGGGCTTCTTTCCTTTTCAAGGAGGCAAAGGATGGTTTTGTCACTCTGTCAGCAAGGGGCACATTCCTACACCCTGAGGCTCCTCCAGGTTTGCCTCACCCTGCAGACCCTGGGGTGGCCCTGGAGGGGTCCCCAGGGTGGGGCTGGAGGGTCCCCAGGGCTGGAGGGTGCCGGGATGGCCTTTGAGGGTCCCCGGAGTGAGGCTGGAGGGTCCCCAGGGTGGCCCTGGAGGGTTCTTGGGGCAGGGCTGGGGGTCCCCAGTGAGAGGCTGGAAGGTGCCTGGGGTGAGGTTGGAGGGTCCCCGGGGCTGGAGGGTCCCGGGGAAGGGCTGGAGGGTCCCCAGGTGAGGTTGGAGGGTCCCCAGGGTGGCCTTGAAGGGTCCCCAGGGTGAAGCTGGAGAGTCTCCAAGGCTGGAGGGTCCCCGGGGTGGCCCTGGAGGGTCCCAAGGGCAGGGCTGGAGGGTCCCCAGGGCTGGAGGGTCTCTGGGGTGGCCCTGGAGGGTCCCAGGATGAGGCTGCAGTGTCCTCAGGATGGGGCTGGAGGGTCCCCGAGGCTGGAGGGTCCCCAGGGTGGCCCTGGAGGGTCCCCAGGGTGGCCTTTGAGGGTTCCCAGGGTGATCCTGGAGGATCCCCAGGGCTGGAAGGACCCCAGGGTGAGGCTGGAGGGTTGCTGGGATGGGGCTGGAGAGTCCCTGGGCTGAGGCTGGAGGGTGCCTGGGGCTGAAGGGTTCCCGGGGTGGCCCTGGAGGGTCCCCAGGGAGGGGCTGGAGGTTCCCAGGGGTGGCCCTGGAGGGTGCCCAGGGCTGGAGGTTCCCAGGTGAGGCTGGAGGGACCCAGGGGTGGCCCTGGATGTTCCCAGGGTGGCCCTGGAGGGTCCCCAGGGAGGGGCTGGAGGTTCCCAGGGTGGCCCTGGAGGGTCCCCAGAGTGGCCCTGGAGGTTCCTGGGGTGGCCCTGGAGGGTCCCCAGGGCTTTAGGTTCCCAGGGTGGCCCTGGAGGGTCCCCAGGGTGGCCTTGGAGGTTCCTGGGGTGGCCCTGGAGGGTCCCCAGGGAGGGGCTGGAGGTTCCCAGGGTGACCTTGGAGGTTCCCAGGGTGGCCCTGGAGGTCCCCAGGGTGGCCCTGGAGGTCCCCAGGCTGTGCTCACCAGGCAGCTGGCGTAGCCGATGCCCCCCAGGCGGGGGCAGATGTAATTCCAGACGCCGATGCTGCCCCGGCGGATGCGCTGCCCCACGGCCAGCTCCAGGAAGAACAGGGGCAGCCCGATGATGATGAGCAGGACCAGGTAAGGGACCAGGTAGGCACCTGGAAGGGGACAGAAAGACAGAAAGGTCATTCCAGATCTCCCTGCTCCAAGGACAGATGGACAAGCAGGGCAGAGCTGGGGCAGGCTTTGCCCGGTCCATCACTTCATTTGCAAACAGCCTCAAGTTGTACCAGGGGAGGCTGAGATTGGATATTGGGACAAATTTCTTCATGGAAGGATGGTCAGGCACTGGAACAGGCTGTGCAGGGCAGCAGGGCAATCCCCATCCCTGCAAGGCTTTAAAAACTGTGGGGGTGTGCCTGGTGGGGACATGGGCTGGTGGTGGCCTTGTGCTGGGTTCATGTTTGGACTCGATGATCTCAGAGAGCTTTTCCAACCTAAATGTTTCCATGGTTTTGTGATCCAGGAATGCAGATCAGAGCTTGGCCAGAGCAGAAGCTGTGGAGAGGAGCAAACACATGTGTGGAAGCAAAGGCTGTGGCATTCCCTGCCAGTGTGGATCATGTGGGATTGACCCCAAGGACTCCCTGAATGCACACAGACAAATCTCCAATGTGTCCTGGATTGCAAGGCAATGTGTGTTCTGTTGCCATCTGTCAGAGCTGGGGCAGTTCTCTGCTGGTCATGGGGCAGTTTTCTTTATCTCTCCCACAACCAATCCTCCCTCCAGGAGATCTCTGCTGTCCATGGCCAGTGAGTGTCCCTGCAGGGCTGATCCAATTCCATCATCCCATGGGGAGATGCTGCGCCCAGGGGAGGAGCCAAGCATTCCTACCTGGATATAATCTGGAGATTCTGGAACACCAGCACAGCTTCTGCACTGCATTGCCCAGAGGAACAGCAGCTGCCTCTGCCCCTGGATCTTCAGAGGCAGAGACTGCACCTTTCTCCAGGATCCCTGCTCCAGCAGAACCAGCCCTGACGCTGCAGGAGGGCTGAGCCACAATTCCAATGGGAATGCTGCCAACAGCCTGACCCACAGGGTGTCAGGCTGGGTTCTGACTCTGGCAGTGTTGGTTTAGTTCACTGCATTATTTATTTTATCTTTTTATTTTCTTCCCCAATAAAGAACTGTTATTCCTGCCCCCATATTTTTTACTTGAGAGCCCCTTAATTTCAAATTTATAGCAATTCAGAGGGAGGGAGTTTACATTTTCCATTTCAGGGGAGGCTCCTGCCTTCCTTAGCAGACACCTGGCTTTCCTAACCTAGACACCATGTGCAAGGAGCCACCTCCATGAGCTGAGCCCTGGGGACACAGCCACGTTCATGGAGCCATCCTGTTCCCCCTGTCCCAGCACATCCCCCGGACATCCCACATTGCCAGCAGCAGCATCCCCGTGCCAGGTGCCACCCTGCATGGCCAAAGAGTGGAAACAACTCAGATTAAAACTCAGTCAATGTCTGTCTGAGTGCTGGGGCTGGAGAGGAGCTGGTGCTTCCCGGAGCAGAAGCGATGACCATAAGGGATGCGATGACTCACGCTGCAGCTCCTGCCTGAGGAACAGCTCCAGCTCCTGCCAGGAGCTCAGGAATGGGCTCAGGAGAATGTGCCTGGCTCCTGCAGGGTGGCAGAAGGTCCAAAGACAACTGAAATTGCCGCCTGGATTGACACTCCAGTGACAGCCACCACTATCACAGACATCTTTTATAGAAAATCCTTTCCTTAGGATTTTTCCTCCTGAGAAGCTGAGAGGCCTCAGGAACAAAATGTAACCAATGGTTATCTGCTGCTGTGGAATGCAACAGGTGCATCTGGGATTGGGCTCATGTGGTTGTTTCTAATTAATGGCCAATCACAGTCAGCTGGCTCAGACTCTCTGTCTGAGCCACAAGCCTTTGTTCTCATTCCTTATTTCCTATTCTATTCTTAGCTGGCCTTCTGAGGAAATCCTTTCTTCCATTCCTTTAGTATAGTTTTAATATAATATATATCATAAAATAATAAATCAAGCCTTCTGAAACATGGGGTCAGATCCTCATCTCTTCCCTCACCCTTGGACCCCTGTGAGCACGGTCCCACACCACTCCCCAGGCCAGGCAGGAGCAGGGCAGGGGGTGCTGCTCCAAGCAGGGACTCTGCAAAGAGGATCAGCCCCAGCATGGGTGGGGATGGTGAGTTAAAAATGGGGGTAGGGAGAGAAATTGAGTGTGGGAATCCATAAAATCAGAGGGGTTTGGGAAAGCTGCAAAAGGCCTCAGAGACAGCAGAACTGGGATTGGAGCTAAGCAGCAGCCATGGGATTGGTCAGCAGAAAAATTATATAAGAAGTAGAAAAGCAAAGACAAATAGAACAATGGTTTGTGCATTAACACTTGTCTAGAATAACTCCCTAAGCTACAGAAAAGTTTATCTGGTGAGATATTAGGAAGTTTGAAGCTTAATAATGGAGCTCTGTGCATTGTGTTTTAAGGCTTACAAGCAGGTATTGTATTGGAAATAAGCAAGCATTGTTTAACCAAAGGTACCTGTGCTTATAGTGGTGGATAGAACTGCTGTCAATGTGCTTTTGTTTTGTGTGATTGGACAAAAAACTTTTAAAGTGAATTGTAACATTGAGTTCTTGGTCTGCTGCCTGGGATGTGAGCTGGTGGCATCTTCCCATTGTCATAACCATGGAATGAGACTGATGCTGGAAAATAAAACAGCTCAAGGCAGTTCCTAACAGTCCCATCCCATTTGTGATTTGTACATAGACCCCTGACCAGCGATATTGAGGTGCAGCAACCCAGGGTGAGTGGGAGGGTAGAAGGAGAGGCAGAGAGCAGAGCTGGGGCTCAGGGAAATTGAGGAAGGACCATGAGCATCCCATCTCTGCAACACTCTCCTGGCTATCTCACCCTACACTTATGTGGACATGAGACAGATTCAGATGCAAATCTGTCCAGCACGGGGGATTTTCTTGCTGTCCTGCCTGGGAAGGTGAGCAGCAGCCAGGGCAGAGCTGCCAGCCCCTGCTGGCTCCCGGCACGCCGAGTCCTGGGGATTTGGCTGCAGCCCATCCTGGCAGCCGCACGCAGCCGCTCTCCCCCGCACACACCTGCTGGGAGAGCAGCAGGGAAAGCAGCCGCATCCTGGAGCTGCTCAGAGCGCCAGGAAAGCTCTGTCTGTCTGTCTGTCTGTCTGTCCATCCCTCCCAAATGTCGGAGCGTCGGGGGATGGCACGGCCGGGACGGAGGGAGAGCAGAGATCTCTGAATCCAGGCTGTGGAACTGGGGGTTATTGCAAAGGGCCTGGGTGCAGGGCCCTGCTGGGAGCTGCCAGCCATAGCTGGAGCAGGACTGAGAGAAGAGAGGGGGAGAGAGGATGAGAGAGGGAGAGAGTGAAAGGGTAAGAGAGTAAAAGGGGTAAGAGAGTAAAAGGGAAGAGCTAAGAGACAAGAGGTAAGAGAGCGAGGTTCCCGTTCCAATACCATGAATCTTCTTCTGTGTTGAATATTCTGATTCTCACTGACCAATCTAGCACAAGATACAAATCCTATAGCATTTACATACAGCCTATAAGAATCATTACATTACCACACTGTGTTACATTTTAAACCCTAAAAACTCCTCTTTGGGCCCCTTCTGCCAAGCTGTAGGGTCTGCTCTGACCCTTGGGCCTGTCTGCAAGCAGAGGGTGTTGTTCCATCAAAAGGGGATCACCTTCAGTGGCCACACCATTGTTTTCCAGTTGTTCAGTAACTGAGGGATCTCAAAGCTTGCTTTCATTTCAATCTCGCTTATAGTTTCCATATTCTCAAAATCTTTTGCCAGACCATCATATTTATAAGGCTTTCCTGTTTCATCTTCCCCAACACCCAAACCCCTGCACCGCTGCTGGCAGCACCTCACAGCCTGGTGGGAACCCCAGCCAAAAGATGTGGAGGGAGGCAAAGGCAGAGAATCAGTGCCTGCCCCATGGGACAGACAGATGATGTAATTTGGGCAAAAGGAAAACCCAGCAGAGCCCAGCAATCTGCTCAAGGCAGTTCCCAGCTCTGTGCCTCAGTTTCCCCATCCATGGAATGGTGGTAATGGTTGGGGAAGCTTGTAAAGCTTTTATTTGAAGTCCTGCTGCAGGAAGATGTTCTGTCACAGCAAGGAGCTCCTAAAAGCAGCTGCTTGTCCCAGTCCCTGCCTGGCTCAGTGCCCCTGGATTGACACTCCAGTGACAGCCACCACTCCCCAGCCCAGGCAGGAGCAGGGCAGGGGGTGCTGCTCCAAGCAGGGACTCTGCAAAGAGGATCAGCCCCAGCATGGGTGGGGATGGTGAGTTAAAAATGGGGGCAGGGAGAGAAATTGAGTGTGGGAATGCATAAAATCAGAGGGGTTTGGGAAAGCTGCAAAAGGCCTCAGAGACAGCAGAACTGGGATTGGAGCTAAGCAGCAGCCATGAGATTGGTCAGCAGAAAAATTATTTAAAAAGTAGAAAACTAAGGACAAATAGAACAATGGTCTGTGTATTAACACTTGTCTAGAATAACTCCCTAAGCTGCAGGAATGTATATCTAGTGAGATACTGGGAAGTTCTAAGCTTAATCATGGAATCTAAGCTTAATCTAAGCTTAATCATGTGCATTGTGTTTTAAAGCTTATAAACAGGTATTGTATTAGAAATAAGCAAGCATTGTTTTAACCAAAGGTACCTGTGCTTAGAGTGGTTGGATAGAACTACTGTCAATGTGCTTTTGTTTTGTGTGATTGGTCAAAAAACTTTTAAAGTGAATTGTAACATTGAGTTCTTGGTCTGCTGCCTGAGATGAGAGCTGGTGGCATCTTCCCATTGTCATAACCATGGAATGAGACTGATGCTGGAAAATAAAACAGCTCAAGGCAGTTCCTAACAGTCCCATCCCATTTGTGATTTGTACATAGACCCCTGACCAGCAATAGGTCTCAGTGAAAAAGGCACAAAAAGGCCTGAAAATCCTCAAGACTCATCATGTTATTCTTATCCTGGGTGGGGATGGTGAGTTAAAAATGGGGGCACGGAGGGAAATTGAGTGTGGGAACCCATAAAATCAGAGGGGTTTGGGAAAGCTGCAAAAGGCCTCAGAGACAGCAGAACTGGGATTGGAGCTAAGCAGCAGCCATGAGATTGGCCAGCAGAAAAATTATATAAGAAGTAGAAAGTGAGGACAAATAGGATGCCAGCACAGGGTGGGTCAAACCCATTGTTCATCCCCTCTGCTGCAGCAGTGTCAGGGCTGTGCTGCCTCAGTCCCCAGCCCCATCCCACCTCCCATCTGATCTTGTGTCCAAAGCCACTTCTTTAATGCTCCCCACACACAGACAGCAAGTTCAGCCCCGGATTTGAGGAATACAGCAGGAGGAATCCCAGCCTGGGAATGCCAGTGGCACCTCCCATCACCCAGCACTGCTCTGCCTAGGAAAATAACCAGGACAGCAGAGAGCTCAGCCTAAGCTGAGGATTTTTCACTGAGTGCACTAATTATGGTTAATTAAGGATTGCTGTGGCATGGGGAAACTGAAGCACAGCCAGTTAATCCTTGCAGAGAAGAAGGATGCTGGTTCTCCAACCTCTGGCTCTAAATCTGGTTTTAAAATCTCATTTAATGGGGAAATCTTGTTCTAAATCTCACTTAATGGGGAAAACTTTCTTGGTAATCAGAGGCCAGCTGTAGGCAGCTGTGTGGTGAAGCCAGCAGGGCTGTACTGACCTCTCCCAGCCCTGAATTTGGGGTGAACACCCGTGAAAAGCTGTGCTGAGCCAAAACCAGGCTGAGCTGCAGCCAAGCAGGGCTCTGGGAGGTGCTGGGATGCAGGAACTGGGCTGCACTGATCTCTCCCAGCCCTGAATTTGGGGTGAACACCCGTGAAAAGCTGTGCTGAGCCAAAACCAGGCTGAGCTGCAGCCAAGCAGGGCTCTGGGAGGTGCTGGGATGCAGGAGCTGGGCACTGCCAGCTCCATCCTGGATGGGGAGGGAAGGGAATGGGGCTGAGCAGCCCTGGGAGGGAGGGGAGTGCTGACTGCACTCAAGAATGACTCATCCTGATGTGACACCAGAGATGTTTGAATTATTGAGGGCAGCTGCAGGGCTGGGGGCACAGCAAAGGATGGAACGCTGGAAACACAGAGAGGACAGGGGCACTGTCCTCCAGCAGGGCTGGGAAGGGACTGGGTTTGGATTAATGACGAGGAACCCACCCTCTCATCAATGGCATGAAGGGTGCTGGGGCTCAGCACAGCTGGGAGGGACCTGACCCTCTGGGCTGCAATGGGAAACCCAGGGAGGAGCTTGGAGTGGGAAGGGAATATGGGCTGGCTGCAAGGAGGGTTTGGGAATGGGATGGGACTGCAAGAAGTGGCATCAAGGACCCAGGAAATGGGTCCCTTTTTAGCCCTAATTTCCAAATTAGGCACGAGGGTTATGGGTAGAGAACCACACAGGCTACAGCTCTAGAGTGCTGGGGCTGGGAAAGGCACAGCAAGGGGAGCACAGCACTGGGCCAACATTGCCCTGGGCCCACCACTGCTAACCTGGGTCATTTGTGACACTTTTGTGACATTTGGGGACCCCAGCCACAGCCCCAAGCTGCCACTAGGGTTAGGGTGAGGGATCAGAGAACCACACAGCCCTGGGGATACTGGGGCTGATGCCATTTGCAAGTAAATATTCCCAACAGGAATCAGGGGGAGCAGCCAGAAATCCTGGCTTCCAGCCTGGGATTCACTGTGACTTTGGAGCAAGCAGGTGGACAATCTTTAGGAAAAGGCCATCCTGGAGATTTCCACATCTCACACAACTTCTTGCAGCCCTTTCCCCCTTCAGAGCCCAAACTATGATATTCACGTGCCCTCTGAACAGAGATTGAGCTTTTTTGGAATTTCTCCTGAGAAAGGCTATAAGAGAAGCAAAGAATTATCAAAATAATTCTTATCTCATTTGCTGCTCCTGTGTTTGTGCCCATGTGTTCTGGAGATTGTTTACCTGAGGTGATTGCTTGGTTGGATTCTGGTTTTTTGGATTCATTGACCAATTGGATCCACGTGTGTGTGTTGGGACTCTCGGGCAGAGGGTCATGGGTTTTTTAGTTAGTGATAGTTCTTGTTAGTGTATTATTCTGTAATATAGTTATAGTGTAATAAAGTAATTAATTGGCCTTCTGATATCATGGAGTTCTGCACAGCATTCTTCCCACCCATCAGGCATCGTGGCACCGATACCAAATAACCCATTTTAGAGCCCAAATCACCCCTGTCCTCTCCTGGATCCACACCCCAGCATGCAGTGAGGCAGGATTGGGTCACACACCCTTCTCCAAGGGCCAATCCCATCCCGTTGGGACCCAGGACATTCCTCTGGCTGCCCTGGGTGATTTGAGACCCTGGCAAGGGGCTCAGAGACCTTGGCACGGAGTCAAAGACACCTGTGCCTTTGATTTTAGCCCATGGAAACAATTGCCAACTTCATGTGAAGATTTACAAGCCACAAGAGTTTGGGTAGAACGATAGTTAATTTGCCACAGGGTGAAAAAGCAGAATATGGGGGATTTAGAATGGGGGTTCAGGAGGAAAGATGGAGGAATCTGGGCATGTCCTGTCCTTCTCCTTCTTCTTGTCCTCCATCTTCTGCTGGGATGGTGGCACTTTTGGATTGGTTTAGAGTTGATACAGACTGTCTAACATAGGGGATAGGTATTGGAAAATTATTGTAAATAAAGTACACGTAGTTTGTAGTATAAAAAGCCAACACCACCCCAAGGCCAGGGACTGTGCCACAACCCAACCTGCTGGACAGATCTCAGCAGGTCAGAGAAAGAATGGAATAGATAAGGAAAAATAAACAACCCTGAAAAGCACAGCTGAGGAATCTCATCTTCTTCTGTCACGGAGCTGGGAAAAAAGATTCTTTAATACCACAGGAGCTGTTTCAGCAACACAAAACCCGAGCCCATCCCTGCCCCATCTCTCACCTCCTCCATTCTTCTGGCAGAGGTGGGCAGATGTTGCTGGCGCTTCCCCATTATTGTAAATAAAGCACATGTAGTTCTTAGTATAAAGAACTAACATCACCCCAAGGGCAGGGACTGTGCCACAACCCAACCTGCTGGACAGATCTCAGCAGGTCAGAGAAAGAATGGAATAGATAAGAGAAAATAAACAACCCTGAAAAGCAGAGACAAGGAATCTCGATTTCTTCTATCACGGGGCTGGGAAAAAAAGACCCTTTAATCCCTCAGGAGCCGTTTCAGCAACACCAAACCCGAGCCCATCCCTGCCCCATCTCTCACCTCCTCCATTCTTCTGGCAGAGGTAGGGGAAGCACCGGACGTTGCTGGCACTTCCCCATTATTGTCAATAAAGCACACGTAGTTCTTAGTATAAAGAACTAGCACCACCCCAAGGGCAGGGACTGTGCCACAACCCAACCTGCTGGACAGCTCTCAGAGAAAGAATGGAATAGAGAAGAGAAAAAATAAACAACCTTGAAAACCAGAGCCGAGGAATCTCGACTTCTTCTTTGGTCACGGGGCTGGGAAAAAAAGACCCTTTAATCCCTCAGGAGCCATTTCAGCAACACCAAACCCGAGCCCATCCCTGCCCCATGTCTCACCTCCTCCATTCTTCTGGCAGAGGTAGGGGAAGCGCCAGACGTTGCTGGCACTTCCCCATTATTATAAATAAAGTACATGTAGATCTTAGTATAAAGAACTAGCACCACGCCAAGGGCAGTCACTGTGCCACAACCCAACCTGCTGGACAGCTCTCAGAGAAAGAATGGACTAGAGAAGAGAAAAAATAAACAACCCTGAAAAGCACAGTTGAGGAACCTCATCTTCTTCTGTCACGGGGCTGGGAAAAAAAGACCCTTTAATCCCTCAGGAGCCATTTCAGCAACACCAAACCCGAGCCCATCCCTGCCCCAGGTCTCACCTCCTCCATTCTTCTGGCAGAGGTAGGGGAAGCGCCAGACGTTGCCCAGCCCCACGGAGTAGCCGATCTGTGCCAGGATGTACTGCAGCTTGCTGTTCCACGCCGGCCGGTTCTCCGCCTCCAGCTCCTCGTCCCCCTCCTTCTGCTTGTCCCACGTGTCCCCCGTCACGTTGAGGACGCTGCGTTTGTAGTCCACGGGCTCCTGGTGGGCCAGCAGGTCGGCCACCGACTCGGTGACATGCTCGCTGCTGTGCTCCCGCTGCGTCACCTTGCTGTTCTTCGGCATCGGGGCGGCCCCCGCGCGGGATCGGGCAGGGAGGAGGAGGAGGAGGAGGAGGAAGGTCCCGCAGGGAGCAGCACAGAGGGGGAGCTACAGCTCGGGCCTCACCTCCTCTTCATCAGCAGGACCTGTGTGGGGAAGGGGTCGGCCAGGGTCTCTTGGGTTTGGCTTATCCCAGGTGAGCTGGTGGGACCTGCAGCACCCAGAGAGAAGGGTGCCCATCCCTGCAGCACCCAGAGAGAAGAGTGTCCATCCCTGCAGCACCCAGAGAGAAGGGTGACTATCCCCTCTGATTTGGGACCTGCAGCACCCAGAGAGAAGAGTGTCCATCCCTGCAGCACCCAGAGAGAAGGGTGTCCATCCCCAGGTGAGCTGGTGGGACCTGCAGCACCCAGAGAGAAGGGTGTCCACCCCTGTGAGCTGGTGGGACCTGCAGCACCAGGAGGGAAAGGTGTCCACCACTGTGATTTGGGACCTGCAGTACCCAGAGAGAAGGGTGTCCATCCCTGCAGCACCCAGAGAGAAGGGTGTCCATCCCTCCTGTGGTTTGGGACCTGCAGCACCAGGAGAGAAGGGTGTCCATCCCTGTGTCTGGGACCTTCAGCACCAGGAAAGGGTGTCCATCCCCCTGTGTCTTGGGACCTGAACCTGAACCTGAGTCTGGAGGATCTCCTGCTCCAGGAATGATGGACCAGGAGCAACGTTCTGGTTGAGAATTAGTGAGTGCCAGGATGGTTTGGGTTGAAGGAATCTTAAAGCTCATCCAACCCCACCCCTGCTTTAGGCAGGGACAGCTTCCATAGACCAGGGACACCATCCACTGTCCCAGACTGCTCCAAGCCCGGTCCAGCCTGGCCTTGGACACTTCCAGGGATCCAGGGGCAGCCCCAGCTGCTCTCATCCATGGAGAAGAGCCTCCTGTGTCCCAGAGAGAGGAATTTCCCTGGGCTCCGGGGGACAGTGGCAGGTGATGACAGGTCACATCCCTGTGACACCTCTTCTCCCCTCTAACACCTCCAGCCCAGCAGCTGAACCTCACAAGGTCTGACACCGACCCAGCCTCTGCCCTGCCTGTCCTGCTCCTTCTCCTCCCCTGCTCCATAGCACAGCCCCAGCTTCGCTCCACGACAGCTTGGAAGCGCTCAGGGGACAGTGACACGTGCCCAGGCAATCTCTGCATCCCAGGAAGTTATCAGGAGTGACTTAAAAGCCTTGGAGCCTGATGCTAAATCTCCCCAGGCAGCTTTACAACAGATAACAGCTGCATAACCAGCAGCAGCCAAGGCAAAGCCATCAACCCTGGCCCCTTCACTTCCCCAGCCCTCAGCGTGGGTCAGGAGGAGCAATCCCGCACAGAAGCACCTCAGGAGGTGCCCAGAACCCAGCCCAGCCCTGCAGATTCCCCCCCTGCCTCAAAAATCTTGGGTTCATTGTGGAAATCTGCTCCACTGGGCTGGGGATCCCCAAACTGGGAAAGCACCATGTCCTTCCTCTCCATACTGGGAGCACTGGGATCAGATGGGGCAGCTCCCAGCTTAGACTGGACTGTGGTGCAACATCAGCTGGGGAGAAAACACAGAACTGCCCCAATGAATCCCTCAGCTTGGAAAAGGGACCCTCCTGAAGAGCTGCACTGCCCTCTTTCCTGTCCTCTCCATCTCTGCTCCCAGGGACACCCGGCTGGTGGCTGGGCCATGGCAGAGCTCAGAGACCTGACCCATCCCAGCTGGGCAGCAGCACCTCCTCCTCCCACCCTGGGGGCTTTTCCAGAGCCATTCCCAGCTCTTCTCTCCTGTTAGAAGTAAAAAATCTGCCAATTTTTTTTTTTTTTTTTTTTTTTTTGAGCAAAAAAGGGTTGCAGAGTGAAACCAGTCAAACAAGTTGCTGCCAAGGTGAAGTTCTACCTGTTTGTTATTGTAACCACCAGTCATTTTCTTTAATTGCTCCTTTTGTATCGGTAAGGCCCTGCCTGGGGCTAGGTTCTCCTTCTCCCCAGACAGTGAGAGGAGGGGACATGGGAGGGGGGCATCAGAGAGAATGCAAAATAACTCCAGGACCAGCATGCCATGGGCAGCCACCCCACCAAACTTACCGAAAAGACCCTGAAAACAATGAGCCAACACAGAATTAAGAGATCAGAGTGATGTCTGGACATGAGGAACAGAGTGCTGATCCTGCAGAGATGCTGAGACCCTTTGTGGCCCCTCGCCCTGACCGAAGACCTCAGCTGGAACCAAGACCCCGAGACCAGACAACCCCAAGAAGCTGTAACAGGGGGCATATCCCCACTGCTCTTGTGAGGATGGGATCCCCAGTGCTGCTCCTTAGTGGCAAAGCTGTACTTTTCTCCTTCTCCCATTCATCGTGGGTGTGGTGATGGCAAACCCACCAACCTGTCAGGCCTCCCAACCTTGAGCTGATCATTTTTAATAAAGGCATTAAAAGAAGAAAACATCTCCTGCCCTGTTTATTTCAGCTGAGCCATGGTGGTTCTGAGCTCCCATGACCTCACCCACCCCAGCTGGGCGGCAGCGCCTCCTCCTCCCTCCCTGGGGGCTTTTCCAGAGCCATTCCCAGCCCTTCCCTCCTCTTGGACATTTTTGATCCAGCTCAGCCCACGATCCCATCCCTTTTCAGGGCAGCGGGTTCAGCCCAGGCAGCAAAGCCCATCAGCAAAGCACCGGGAGCAGGAAACCTCCCCCTCAGCCACCCTCACCTCGGTGTTTTCTCACCCCTGTCGGAAGTTCCCCCTTTGCCAGGCCCTGTTCCTATATGAAAAAAAAAAAAAAAAAATCTATTTTCAACTGTCGGCTGCATCCGTTGCCAGGCAACCATCTCGGCTCCACATCTTTCCTGGATCCGGCTCCTCCGGAGAAGCCGTTTGAGTTATTTTGTCAAGCCCAGGCCAGCGATGTTTAATTTCCTAACGAGGGCTCATTCACAGCAGCCGCTCGCCGCTCAATCGCGGCAATTACCGGCACGTGGCTGCCCGGGGCTGGAGCATCCTCAGCCGGGCTGGGGATGGGCACAGAGCACGGCCAGGGCCCCACCCCGCAGCCAGGAAAGGGCAGGATTCCCATCGGGGCTGGCTCGGGCTCTGTGTGGATTTGTGCAGAGCTGGGTAAATCACCCACGGGTTGTTGTCTGCTCCCTGTCTGCTCAGCAGCTCCTTCAGAGCACCAGGAGGACTCAGACTGGGGGTTAAAATATCTCTTAGGACTCTCTAAAGTTTCTCTTCAGGACCCCTAAAATATCTCTTTAGGGTTTCTAAAGTATCTCTTTAGGACCCCTAAAATATCTCTTTAGGGTTTCTAAAGTATTTCTTTATGATCTCAAAAGTATCTCTTTAGGACCCCTAAAATATCTCTTTAGGGTTTCTAAAGTATCTCTCTAGGATCCCTAAAACATCTCTTTAGGATCTCTAAAGTATCTCTTTATGATCCCTAAAGTATCTCTTTAGGATCTCTAAAGTATCTCTTTATGATCCCTAAAGTATCTCTTTAGGATCCCTAAAGTATCTCTCTAGGATCTCTAAATTATTTCTCTAGGATCCCTAAAGTATCTCTCTAGGATCTCTAAATTATCTCTTTAGGACCCCTAAAATATCTCTATAGGGTTAGGGAGAGAGCCAAGAAGATCCAGGACGTGCTGGCCAAGCCCCCAGGGTGCAGTGGCCCACAGTGAGGGCACCCAAACAGCTTTTTTGGGACACCCCAAGCCCTGGGAGGTGCCCAGCTCCAGAGCAGGTGGTTCTGAGCCAGGCCAGCACCATGGGGCCAGCACAGACCCCACAGCATCCCTGTGGATCTCAGCCCGTTCCTCTCCTTGGTTTAGCTGTTCTGAGGGCTGGGAGGCCCCAGGACACAGATCCTGGAGGAGCAGGGTCCTTCCAGCACCTCCAAAGCTCCAGAAACCCTCAGAGCCTTGGAGAACACTCCAGACAGCAACATTCCCAAAGGATTTGGGGTCTCAGCAGGGCTGCTTTTATGGGATGGGGATGGGCTCTCCAAACATTGGCAGGAGGGTGAAGGACAGGTACAAGTGTTCCTGCCCGTGCCCAAGCTGAACTAGAGGGGGAAAACCTTATCAGAGATCCAGATCCTGGTCCTGGCATGGCTCTGGCAGTGCCCCATGGCTGCTTTGGGGAGTTCCTGCTGTGTCCCCATGGGCATGGTGGTGCTGCCTGGCAGAGACCCAGGCTGAAGGAGAGAGGATCATTCCTGATTCCATGAGCACACCCAGCCTTCACCCTCCCCATCCCTGCTGGGAATGGGAGATGAGCCCAGGCAGAGCCTGCACGAAGCCACCAGCCCACACAGCCCAGGAACAGGGCCCAGGGAAAGCCAGGTCAGCAAGGCTCTTCCCTCTCATTTCCCCAGCTTTTTGCACCAGCCCCAAGGTCTGCACCCTCAAACGAAAAAGCACAGCCCAAATCCATCTGAGAAAGGTATTTCTGCACATTCCTTTGGTAGGAAAAGGGAATTTAATCAAAAAATCATCTGCCAAAAATAACAACCACCCTGTGAGAAAGACAAGGCAGATCAGCTGACGAGCAGGAGCTTTCCGGGCTGGAGCGAGATAGAAAACCCTTGTCACTGACAGATGGAGATTCAGCTTGTTTACTTAGTCCCCATGACCTTAATTTTCTTAAATGTGCTTTTTTTCTGTCTCTTTAGAAGACAGATTAGGGTCTTTCAGAGCCCATGGCTTGCAAGAACCTCACTCATGCCACCAGACCAGGGCTGACTTTGCACCCACAGCTTTGCCCAGGTAAAACCAGCGCTGGTGGCACCCAGCTGGAGAGGGAACGTGGCTTTTCCCACAGCAGGACCTGGAAAGGACCAGTTTGTGCTGGTGTCTCTGAGCAGGCATTATAAGGAGAGGGAATAACTCACCTCATCCTGCTCCATGTCCCTGGGTGTGTCTTTGAATGGGATTCCCTCTTCCCTGGTCCCAGTGAAACCTTCACACTGAGCTCCTGAGACAGCAAACACCATTCCCTGAGCCCTGGGCTGAGTCCAGGGCTCCTGCTGGCACAAAGTGACAGTCCCCATGCATGCCCAGGTGGCACAGGGTGACCCCAAGCCCCCCATCCCTTTGGACTGGTGTGGGAACCACCACGGCAGCAGATCCAAGGCAGGTTTGCCATGGGACAAACTGGATTTAACCCACCAGGGGAAGGGCAGGGATGGAGAAGCTCCTGCCTTGTCACACTCAGGGGTTTAATCCCTGCTCAGAAGTTCCCATTGACCCCAAAAGCAGCCATGGGGAAATGCTGAATTTTGGGGTGAGTGAAGAACCCCCAGTCCTGGCAGCAGCATGACCGAGGGCCAGGGGATGAGGGAAGCTCCTGCCTTGTCACACCCAGGGGTTTAATCCATGCTCAGAGGCTCCATTGATCCCAAAAGCAGCCATGGGGAAAAGCTGCTTTTTGGGGTGCTATTTGGGGTGAATGAAGATTCCCCACATCCCCAGCCCTGACAGCAGCATCACTAAGGGTCAGGGGAGGAGGGAACTCCTACCTTGTCACACCCAGGGGTTTAATCCCTGCTCAGAGGCTCCATTGACCCCAAAAGCAGCCATGGGGAACTGCTGCTGTTTGGGGTGAGTGAAGACCCCTCAGACCCCCGGCCCTGGCAGCAGCAGCATCACCAAGGGCCAGGGGAGGAGGGAGGCTCCAGGCCACGTGTCCTGGCTCTGCCCATCCTTGCTTTCTTGGGAAGGCAGCTGGGGAGCAATAACAGGCTGGAAATGTGTCAGCAAAGCTTTCAGCTGGGTCTGGGAGAGCTGGGGAAGGCAGGCAGGAGATGGGGATTTACAGCAGAGCCCAAGGAGATCAGCAACTGGCAGCAAACGTGCTCTGGGTCCAAATGATGGGGTGCAGGGGAATCTCTCCTCTCCTGCGTCCAAATTCTACATTTATCCCTCATTTGGGTCCAGAAAGGAGAAACTGAGGCAGGAAAAGCCACAAAATGAGATTGGGTGAATTAAAAATGAGCTTTTCATCCTCTGGGGACTCTGCTGGTCCCTCCCTGCCCCAGCATCACCATTTCTCCCCCTTCGGCTTCCACAGAAATCGCCCACAGCTCCTAAAGGAAAGATGTTCCTGGTGAAGGACCCAGCTCAGCAGGCCTGGGAAGGTCCAGCTCACCCCACCAAGGTCACAGAGCAGGGAAAGGAGGGAGGAGTGGGGACAGAGGAGCCGAGGGATTTCGGGAGGTGGAAATCTACCCTCGGCTTGGGGGCTGGGAGAGCTGAGCATCAATTTGCAGCTCCTCATCCTCCCTGACACACACAGAGCCAGGGAAATACTGCACCCAGGGCAAGGCTGGTGGCTGAGGTGGGGAGACTGGCCCAGGGAGGAGAAGGGACAGACCCAAGGTCACCCAGGAGCAGAGGAGGAGGGAAGGAGCACAGATCCCTCCTGTCCTCCCTCTGTGCTGCACAGCCAAGAGCCAAGGAAGGAGACCTGCATGCACATCCCACTTTGGCCCAAGTCATGAGAAAAACCAGCTCCAGGCCCCTTCCTGCTGCTCCCTGAGGCCAGGGAGCCTCTGTGGTGGGATGGGGATGGCCCTGGCAGAGCTGGTCCTTTGGGAAGCATCCTGCTCCTCCAAACCACAGGAAACCAAGGGCAGGGCCCTCCCAGCACATCCAAACTTCTCTTCAAAGCCCCAAGAAGAGATTTCTGCCCAAGGCAGAGTTTTTGCAGCTCTGCCCACCCCTGCCCTGCTCTGAGGACCTTCCCACAGCCTCCACCACTCAAACCTCCCTTTTCCACCAGAGAGGCTGGTCCAAGACACCTCCATCTTAAATTTCCTCCTCCTTGCCCGGCCTGTGGCTCCTTGGAAGAAGGGTTTTACCATCTGGGCTCATTAGGGCTGCTCCCATTGTCCCCTCGTTAAAATGAGCTGTGCTAACATGCAGAAAGGACACGGGGTGAGCCATAGAGCCACCAGGGCTGTCCCCTCCTCACACCCACCCCTGGGGAGGCACAGACTGCAGCTGGGGCAGTGTCAGAAGGTGACAGAGCAGGAGAAGCATCTCAGGAGCGGCTGGGGCTGAAGGCAGCCCGGCCTCTCGCATTTCCCCCCCTGAGGGGCTGGAGCCGCCCCTCGTCCTTCCCGTCCCGCTTTAGCATCGTGACACAGGAGAGCTGATGAATCAGAGCTGCCCCCGCTTCTGTCTTACACCCACCCCGCTGGCTGAGAGCGCCCAGATGTTATAAATATCCCAAATTCCTCTCCAGAAAAGCAGGGCTGGGGCTGCACCAGCCCCTGCTCCACCACTGGGTCTGTCCCACCTCAGAGGGACACGGCTGTGACCTGACAGCCACTCCTGTCCCCAGGAGGTGCCAAGGAGCCTCCGGATGGGTTTTGCTGATGGGTCACAAGGTGGGCAAGGGAGGAGCAGCCCCGGGTCCAGAAAGGAGAAACTGAGGCAGGAAAACCCACAAGATGAGATTGGGTGAATTAAAAATGAGCATTTCAACCAGGTGGGTCTGTCCCACCTCAGAGGGACACGGCTGTGACCTGACAGCCACTCCTGTCCCCAGGAGGTGCCAAGGAGCCTCCGGATGGGTTTTGCTGATGGGTCACAAGGTGGGCACGGCAGGAGCAGCCCTGGCACTCGGGTTTGTCACGAAGCCGTGAGCCCGTGGGTTCATGGGCTTAGGGCTCCTTTCATGTCTCATTCGGCAGCATGAAAACACACACAGCTGCAATAACGTGACACCAGAGCAAAGGCAACCATCATATGATCCCTTCAGGGCTGGTTTGATTCACCAGATGATCGTTTTCCACTCGGACCTCAGCGATCCATTGTAACTCACCCACTCCAGCCAAAGGTTACTCAACGAGCCCCAAACCAGCTGAGATTTACCCTAAAAAGCAACAAACAGGCAGCACCCAAAGCCCGCCCTGAGTGCTGCTTTCCCCCGTTGTAATTCATGGAGCTGCTGCTACGTTTGTAAACAAACAAATCCCAACCCAGCCCGGGATGGGGTAAAAGCAGGGCTGCTCCTCCCCAGGCAATGATTTCACCTGGACGTGGGCAGGTCAGTGCCCGATTTGGGGTGAATCTGATCCTCGTGACTCCAGCTCTGCTGTAACTCCAGATTCCTGCTCTCTGCAAGCCCGAAGTAGCAGTGGAGTCACTCCAGATTTAAACTGAACCTTTTTATCCCTGCTGGTTTCAGCAGAGCCATCTCCACCCTATCCCAGTGGACAGCTCAGACCCACATTTTATTTCCCTTGGAGCAGTCACACCCCCAGCCAGGTTCCTTGACCTAGTCCTGACACCTCTGGAGAAATATTCACAAGGAACTCTCCACCCTGCCGAGAATAGCTCAGCTGCCACCGTGCTCCAGGTTTTTTTCCTCCCAAGACCAGAAATAGTTACATCAGCTCCTGATGGATTGGAACCTCAGGTGCTTCAGACACAAGGCGTGATCCAGGGAGCAGGATTTCACCTTCTGGGTCCTCTACAAAGAGCTGGGAGCAGATTTCTCAGCTGGTTTGAGCCCCACATTCCCAGAGTGATGGAAATTTGGACCAGCCCAAAAAACACACCTTTGGGATTATCCAGCATGCACAGAGGGGGCCAAGGGCTCCCCACACCCAGTCCTGGGAATTTCACCCAGAAATTCCCATTTCCTGGTGAAAAGGACCCCAAACCCCATTTTCTACCTCAAACCCAACCATCCACACTCAAGGAGCAGCACAAAAATAAAAGAAGGGGCAACCCCCCCTCCCCCCCTTCCCCTACTCCAGGGACCAGGACTGAAATATTCATTGCAGCCCAACGCTTTCTGCTCTCCCAATGTTATTGTCAAGGTCAACCTGGAGGCTGCATTCCCACCCATCCTCAGACGGGATGAGCCCCCCCAGCAGCAGGAGCCGGGCAGGAACCCAGAGCCACCCGCAGCCATGACCCCCCAGCCCCCGGAGTGCCTCCAAATGTCCCCCCAGCCCCGGATGCCACCACCCCGAGGGCCACGCCTGATGCCTCCGGGCTGGGCTGTCCCCTCCATCAACCTCAGCCCGGCCCTGAGCATCTTTTCCCCGCTGGGGAGGGGGCACCCAGGGCCGGCAGGGCGGGGATGGGGGGAGCATCCTCACCTCGGCGCTGCGGCGGCTCCCCGGGAGGATGAAACCCACCCGATTCCAGGAGAAACTGGCCCGGTCCCGGAGGGAAACGGCGCAAATTCCCGGCAGAAATCACCAAAATTCCCGGCGGAAATCACCAGGGGCGAGCGAGGAGGTTGCAGGGAGCCGGGCAGACGGGAGCGGCAGCGGCCGGGAGAGGCGGGCAGGGCTCGGGAAGGGCTCGGCGGGGATGCTCCGAGGTACCGGCGGCTCCGCTCCGCTGCCGGTCCCCGCCCGCCCCGCCGCCGCCCGGTGGATGCGCGCTGGGCTCGCCCGGCCCCGCCGGAGGGAGGCAACTCCGAGCGGCTCCCGGGAAATCAGGAACGAAACGGGATAGAAAATTAAAAAAAAAAAAAAAAAAAAAAGAGAGAGAAATATATAAAAAAAATATCAACGCGATGGGACACGCAGCCCCTGACGCAGGCTTGAGTCACCAGGGCTGCGCGTCAAAGCTGGGGTGCCCGGCCACCCCCCCTGCTCCGAGGGAGGCTCTCGCAGGCGAAAAAAAGTAACGTCGAGTCCTGACACAAAGGGGTGGGTCTGGTTTTGCTGTGGGGGGAAGAGAATCCCTTTGAAATGGCCCCAAAGTGCAGCCCCGGGAGGGCCCTGCTGGCTGCTGATTCCCTGGGGGAGGGAGGGTTTGGGGGGTTTGGGAGCCCCTTGCCCCGATTTGTTGTCAGAGATTTGCAGGGTGGTTTGCACTGGAAGGGATTTTGAGGATCACCTCGTCCCAGCCCTGCCATGGCAGGGACACCTTCCACTGCCCCAGGTGGCTCCAAACCCCATCCAGCCTGGCCTTGGGCACTGCCAGGGATCCAGGGGCAGCCTCAGCTGCTTTGGGCACCTGTGCCAGGGCCTGCCCACCCTCACAGGGAAGGATTTTTTCCTAAAATCGAATCTAAACCCACTATATTTCATTATTTGAAAGATGTATTTTATATCTCTTTCATTATTTGGTGTTTCAGAGGATTTTCTTTGGCTGGGACCACACAGGAGGGAGCAGGAGGAGTGGCCAGGCCCCAAACTCTGCTCCCCCTCACTCAGTGTGAATCCTTCAGCTGCCCCTTCAGTGTGAGGATGCTCAGTGCTGGTGCTGAGCCCTGGGGCACTCGGGGAGCCCAGAGCCAGCCCTGGGCTCAGGGGACACCACAGCCCTGGGCACAGCAGCTCCCCTGCCAGGGGAGCCCAGAGCAGCCCTGACCTGAGTGGGCTGGGGCTCAGCCAGCTCTGAGATATTGCAGGGATTTGTTTATTATAGAACAATTTATATTGATTTCTATTTATAATTTATCTTTATTTCTAATATTTGTGTGTTTATATTTATATTATAATATCTTACATTTATATTATAATATATTTATATTATAATTTATATTTATTATAGAATGGTTTGGCTTGGAAGGGACCTTCAAGCCCTTCTCATTCCACCCCACCATGGGGGACACCTCCACTGTCCCAGGTTGGTCCCAGCCCTGTCCAGCCTGGCCTTGGACACCTCCAGGGATCCAGGGGCAGCCCCAGCTGCTCTGGGCACCTGTGCAGGGCCTCCCACGCTCACAGGGCAGGATTTTTTCTAATATCGAACCAAAATTCCCCATCTTTCAGTGCAAATCAATTCCCCCTTGTCCTGTCACTCCAATTTCTGGGGACAATCCCCCTCTGGCTCCCTTGTAGGCCCCCTCAGCTCCTGGAAGGCTCCACCTTTAACCCACCTTTAATGCAGACAATAAAATCCTTCAGGTGAAAGGACACCACCTCCCTTTCCTTCCCAGCAGGACGTGGGATACAGCAGCACATTCCATCTGGACAGAGGCAGAAATGCCTTGCACAAACAGCTCTTGAAGGGGAGCAAGCCCCAAATCCAGCTTTTCAGGCCCAATTTCCCACAGCTCCTCAGGCTAATTGCTGTGGGGAGCACAAACAGCTCTTGAGGGGGAGCAAACCCAAAATCCAGCTTTTCAGGCCCAATTTCTCACAGCTCCTCAGGCTAATTGCTGTGGGGAGCAGAGCCCAGGACAGCAGGAGGGCTCAGCCTTCCCCATCTCTTCAGTGCTGCCCTCAGAAAACCTGTAATCAGATTTATCAGGAAAAGCACAGGCTTGTTAGGTTGGTTCACTGCAGGGAAAACAGGAAAAAAGTTTTCAGAGGAGCTCATTTCTGGTTCAGTATCTCATGGAAAAGTCTCCTGCTCACACATTCAGCAATGGAGCCTGGCTGCATTTCCCAACCAGTGTATTTCTGGTGCTGATGATGCTGGTACCAAGAGAAACCCTGATAGGAGGAAAAACACATTTGGAAGAGATAAACTCCAGAGAATTCAAACCTCCAGCCCCAAGCCACACTGCCTCAGCTCCTGGATTGCAGTGTTTATACACATTCCTGGCCTTTCCAGCCTATTAGGCACAGAAGGATCAATTGTCCCGTGTGCTTGGGAGCTGGGCCAGCAGCAATGGCCATAACTCTGCCTCTTCCCTGGGAGAAACGAGCCACACTCCATTAACTGTGCCTCTCCCAGCCTGGCTCTGGGGAGGGCAGCCCTGGAAAGGGAATGAACCCATCCCACTCATGATTTAAAAATCAAAACACACTCCCAGAGCAGCATCCATGGTGGCAACATCTCATGATCCAGGGTGTGATGGATGGGAGATCCAGGCCCTGTCCTGGATTGCCAAGCAAATTGGATTCCATTTGCCATCTGGGTGGCAGCTGGCTTCTGTTCAGTGGGCAGTTTTCCTTATCTCCCCTGCTGGAATGTTGGGGGACACAAGACAGATGATGGACTTTGGACCTGGCTAACATAAGAGATTTGATAACAGGATGCCTTGGCAAAAGCAAACAGAACTTTGAAAATTAGAACTGGATTGCAAGAAGATTTAATTAAGCAGTTTACCAGAAAAAGAAAATCCCATTAAACTCTGCAAGCAAGAGATGTTATATGCATAAGTTTGTGAATGTGATTTTAAATAATAAAAGTTTGTGTATGTGATTTTAAATAATTTAAAAATAAAATCATATTCTCCCTCAAATAGTATATAAGCATTTGTATCCCACAATAAAATTGGATTCTCATCACCAAGTCAGTCTCCCCATCTCTCTCCATCACCGACATCTTCCACACCCACTCCTCCCTCTGGGAGACATCTGCTGATAACAGCCATTGAATGTCCCTGCATGGCTGATAAGAACTACAGCATCCCATTGGGAGATGTGAGCCCAGAGGGAGGAGCCAAGCATTCCTACCTGGATATAATCTGGAGATTCTGGAACACCAGCCAAGCATTCCTACCTGGATAGAATCTGGAGATTCTGGAACACCAGCCAAGCATTCCTACCTGGATATAATCTGGAGATTCTGGAACAGCAGCACAGCTTCTGCACTGGATTGCCCAGAGGAACAGCAGCTGCCTCTTGCCCTGGATCTTCAGAGGCAGAGACTGCACCTTTCTCCAGGATCCCTGCTCCAGCAGAACCACCCCTGACGCTGCAGGAGGGCTGAGCCACAATTCCAATGGTTCTGCTGCCAGCACCCTGACCCACAGGGTGTCAGGCTGGGTTCTGACTCTGGCAGTGTTGTTTTGGTTTACTGCATTGTTTATTTTATCCTTTTCTTTTCTTCCCTAATAAAGAACTGTTATTCCTGCTCCCATATTTTTACCTGAGAGCCCCTTAATCTAAAATTTATAGCAATTTGTAGGGAGGGGGTTTATATTTTCCATTCCAGTGGAGGCTGAAATGGAAAATATAGGGGGTTGCTCTGGGATGTGGTCAGTCCTCGTGACCTCTCCAAAGATTTGGCACTTCCCATGTTTGTGGCACAGCCCTCCCTGTGGAACATCCCTTGGGTGGTGGGGAAGCAAACAGGGAAGCCAAGGAGCAAATGCCCAGGCTGGGAAAGGGAGACATGGACAGGACAGACAGCCAGGACCCCAGTGGGGACACACAGGGGATGTGGGAAACAGGTTTGTAGAGAATTCTCTACAAATCTTGACAAAAGGCTCACATGGTGTGCACCTGCATGCAAACCTTGAGATAAGAAATGTAAACCTTGAGATAAGAAATGCTGGCTTAGAAATGCCATGGAATAGGACAGACATTGTTGAGAGAGAAACAGAGCTAGAAACAAGAAATGGAACTAGAAACAAGGTCAGAAAAGGGCATAATCTGACAGGAGACAGGGAGGTGAGGCCCTGGCACAGGTGCCCAGAGCAGCTGGGGCTGCCCCAGGATCCCTGGCAGTGCCCAAGGCCAGGCTGGACAGGGCTGGGAGCAGCCTGGGACAGTGGGAGGTGTCCCTGCCATGGCAGGGCTGGCATTGGATGGGCTTTAAGGTCCCTTCAGCCCAAACCACTCCATGATTCCCTGACTCTGGTTTCTGAAGATGGGGATTTTTATCGCCTCTGTGGGAAGATGGGCCTGAGCTTGGAGGGCTGGGGAAGGGGAGCTGCAGATCCCACAGGCTGCAAGTGCCAGCAGCAGCAAACTCTGCACACCCAGATTAACAGAAAGAAGATTGGGCAACCTGATTAGGGGGTCTTAAGCAAAGAGAAATCAAGGATCCTTCTGAAGGAGGGGCTGAAGCAGCCACTGAGCTCCCTGGTCCTGCATATCTCATCAGGGAGCAGGGATAACCCTACTGCAGATGGGCTGACTCAATGACACTTTAAGGTCTCACAAATCCTCCCCTGTGGATTTAAAATCTCCCTTTGGTTCACTGCACATCACCAAAGTGTTGGTTGGTAAACTGAGGCATGAAAATATTCCCAGATGTATCAGAGCTAAAACCAGGAGAGACAAAGCTGGATTTGGGCTCTGCCATGAACATTTCCAGGACCAAAAATTCAGGTTATGGCCCAGGCAGCCACCAGCAGAGGAGATGCCAGGGGCAGATGCAGGAAGGTTATGGCTGCGTTTGGCTGAGGCTGATTCAGAGAGATTCAGGCTCGGGAAAAAATAAACCAGACCCTCTGCCCGGTACTTTTCCGACACCAGGCTGAGCAGCAGGAACAGTCTGGATTAAAGCAGAGCATGAGTAATGTCTCTCCTGGAAGAGCAGTGC